GTTTGAAGTTGTAAGCGCCAGGTTTTTCACTTGTTTATTGTATTTCTATTTTGTGTATCTGTGTGCCACTAACTGCCAGTGTGTGTATCTGTGTGTCAGATTCATACACACTGGCACATACAAACACAGATACACACACTTACACACACACAGATACACAAGGTGTGTGTATCTGTGTCAGTGTGGGTATCAGATTCATACACACTGGCACATACACACACCTTGATACACAGACACATACAAACACAGATACACACACCTTGATACACAGACACATACATACACACTGCGTGTCAAGGTGTGTGTACCTGTGTGACACTGTGTGTGTGTATCTGTGTGTCAGATATACAACTGGCACATACAAGCACAGATATGCACACCTTGACACACACACCGGCACATACAAAAAAAACGTCGCAATTGTAATTGGGAACCCCTGGCCTACAGTGACTTTTAAATGACACGAGCCATGACCTTTGTGCTTTTTTATACATTAAAGGTACACTGTCCAAATGCATTTTTAAAAAATAATTAAAAAGATCATTTCGTACACATACCCCTGATGACACCATTCATGCAATTCGAGACATGTGCAATTCGTTTCGGGCCGAATATGTATTCGGAGGAATTCCAGGCAATTCGGACATTCAGGTACTTCCGAAGTGCCGAATTACCGAAGTCCCAAAGTTTCGGAATTTCCGAAGTTCCAAATTGCCGAAGTTTCGAAGCACAGTTTTGCCTAAGTACTAATATACTTACCCAGTGGAAGAAGAATAATGTTACACTGTATACAATTTTAAATAAAAAGTATACAGACATAGCCAGTATTCAGCTGTAAGCATTTGCAACACTTACAACAATCAAGTAACATACATTCATATAAAATGTAAGTTACTTGGCCAGTCAATGTAATGACAGGAATGAATAAGTAGATAACTCCCTAATTCCCACGGTATTAGGGAGCTATCTACTAAAAGGCTGAAAGACCTAAATTGGTCTTTCAGCCAAATTTACTAATACTAAGTAAAGATTACTTAGTATTAGTAAATTATGCCCCTACTCGCTATACCGTGAGTAGGGGCATGTCTATTAAAAAATAATTACACTTGCAGGGTTAAGAGTAGTGGGAGTTGGCACCCAGACCACTCCAATGGGCAGAAGTGGTCTGGGTCTCTGCAGTGTCCCTTTAAGTGCGTCAGTTATTATGGCTTTTTATTTGGCCTTTTTTGGGGCTGAAAAAATAAGATTTTTGAAGAAAGAAAACATCAAATGGTAAGTTTATAATTATTTTTTTACACGTACTTAGTTAAATGGCCCCCCTTATTATTTTTAGGGTGAGGGGGTAGGTAGGGGTTAATTTTTGGGGGGAAGGGGGTTACTAGGGGTTTGGGGACCCCTAGTCACGTGCAGGAGGGGGGGTTCTTTTTTTTTATTTAGGGCCCCCATCCGACGCTCAGGGGTGGGGGCCAGGGGGGAGGACATTAGGTCCCCCCTAATTAGACATTAGGTCCCCCCCTCATTCTAATTTAGGGCACACACCGCTCAGGGGTGGTGGCCAGTGGGAGGACATTAGCCCCCACCCACCGCTCAGGGCTGGTTAATTTATAAAAGTGTAAATTTCTATTGAAATCTGTACTTTTTGTAAAATTAAAATAGGACACACTTAAAGCACTTCAGTGCTTTAGGTGTGTGGAGTGTTCTTTAATTGGTTGGAGTCATGTCTAAAGCTTTGCACATGTGTCAATGAAGCAAGGGCATGGACCTATATACACTCCATCATATCTATAATCCCACCCTTTGATGGTTTCTGTCGCCCATCAGCAGATCTGTACTGTTCCTGACTCTGATTCCTGTTACACAGCTATGTTTATTGACTCTGCTTTGTATTATTCACTTTCCTGTGTTTCCTGTGTTTTTGCCCACTGGTACTCCTGTTCCTGTTTTACCAGACCCGTCTCTGTCTCTTTCTTCGACCTTGGTGTTGTTTATTATTTTATTTATTATTTTTGTATTCCTCCTGGTCTGAATATATTTCTTGGCATAGTACTGTTATTTCCTATTCCCTCCTTAGCATTAAGCCTGGACACGTTAATGTTCAGTAATACGCCTATCATTTCTTTCAGTATCTTGTGCTAAATAGTTCACAAGTGTCATCCTAGTATCCAGTACCATCAGTGGATCACTCAAATGTCTTAATTTAGATATCTAAGTGTATTGGGTGGCTTTGTGCGAGGCAGATGACAAGGTCATTACCATTAGACAATGGTACGACCATGTCATCCTTTAGACATCAGAGAAGGTCCCCATTGGCTGATGGTGTTTCTGCATAATAATAGATCAATCTTTGAGAATGTATCCTTAAACACTCTCCAAAAATCCACCAAAGGACAGTTTGCAATTTACAATTCATCCACAGACATTGAAATGGAAATACAAAAGTTAGGGGCTTATGTGAGGAGGAAGGGGCTGTGGTATAGAGCGGATAGGAGCTGTAGTGTGTGTGTGTGGTGGGTAGAGTGGGGGGTAGGGAAAGTAGTGTATAGAGGAGATAAGGATTCTGTTTATGTGTTGGGTATAAGACTGTAGTGGAGGATGGAAAATAAGAAAAACACCAACAAACTAAAGGGTGGTGGGATACTGGTGGTAAGGTGGGAAATGCAACTTTCTGTTTAAGAACCTTAAGCTTGGAAACATGTAAGGATTTTTAGCCTGACATTCCCTTGTGGTGTCTTCTGTGCCGAATAAACTGTCTTCATTTGCTCTGTTGAGCGCTTGTTTTGGCGTTTTTCTGTGGTTTGTTTATGCCTTCCTGTGGATTGACATATTGGGGTTATCTGGCCTGACATCTTGTAGTGCTATGGGTGAGTGGAGCGTCATCTCCCTTTACTTAGGAGTTTATTTCATAATAGGATATAACGGTGGTCCGGAACCTGTATCCCAGTTATATTTTTCTTTTTGCACTCCCAGTGGGTGCAGACTTCTGGGGAAAGTATTAGAGCATTGACATGATAACCCTTGTAATGCTTTGATTCAGTAGAAGGAGCAGAGAACTTTGTCTGCACATGCAGAAGGTGCAGACCAAGTTCACTGGCTTATTCCTCCCCACTGGCATCAGAATAAACGAGTCAGTAAGGGATACCTTTGATATCTCACCACATCTGGATTGTTCTCATAATGCAGTTAACTTTATGATCTTGCAGTGATTTCTGCAAGTCTCTGCAATTATAAGCCACTCTTACCTATGTGAATGGATGAAATTGGATACAGAGTACTCTATGCAAAGGTATTATGGAGCTTAGAGTGACTCTTTAAAGGAACACTCCAAGCACCAGAACTCACTAAAGCCCTTGCTACAATTCGTAGAAAGAAGTCAAACTGTTTTTGAACGGGTTTACTTCTAACGTGATGTTTGCTGGCTGCGTTACCCTGCCTTAAAAACGAATGCAAGAGAGCTAGAAAAAACTCCTAGGTTCTCCTGAGCTAAACACTGCTGTGCAGAGCGTAGCTCATTGGCTGAGAGTGATCAGCTGAGGAGAGCTGATGGATGTTCCTGTTTAAAGGACCACTATAGTGCCAGGAAAACAAACTTGTTTTCCTGGCACTATATGGTCTTTAGGTACCCCCCACCTTCAGGGTCCCACTCCCACCGGGATCTAGGAAGAGGAAGGGGTTAAACGCTTACCTTTCTCCAGCGCCGGGCTCCCTCTTCGACAAGAGGGCAGCAAGAGCCGCGCTCGCATTCAGTCAGTCCATAGGAAAGCATTCTCAATGCTTTCCTATGGACGCTGGCGTCTTCTCACTGTGAAAATCACAGTGAGAAGCGCGGAAGCACCTCTAGCGGCTGTCAATGAGACAGCCACTAGAGGCTGGATTAACCCTCAGTGAAACATAGCAGTTTCTCTGAAACTGCTATGTTTACAGCAGGCAGGGTTAACCCTAGATGGACCTGGCACCCAGACCACTTCATTAAGCTGAAGTGGTCTGGGTGCCTATAGTGATCCTTTAAGAACTTTCTCTGACATTAGTAGTGGAGTTATGGAGTGGCACCAAACAGTCTGCCCCTTTAAATATTAGGTTGCCTGGGCACTCCTAGCGGTAGTCATGTTGATTAGTGTTCCTTTAAACATGCAATACACCACATATAATATATATACATACATGGTATATATATATATATATATATATATATATATATATATATATATAGTAAAATATACCAGTCTAAATAGAATAAATAATACAACAGTATTAGGACTACATAGATATTGAAAGTTTTCAGGAAAATCTGTGAATGCCAGTTTCAGACTAAGGATTGGATTCTATTGCAAAGATTAACTTAACCCTGCTATTGGAAAAGACTCCGCTGACTGCTGTGAGAAAATGTACACGAGATAACCTAATAGAATTAGACTGGAATAACCCTAAATGGTCAGTTCTTTAGAATGAAAAGCTATCTTCAGAATTGCTGAATTCATATACCAGGCTTTCCCAAAGCTCCGGCCCTCCAGATGTTGCTGAACTACAACTCCCATGATTCTATGAATGAAATAAATAGGCTAAGAATCAGGGGAGTTGTATTTCAGCAACATCTGGAGGGCCTGAGTTTAGGGAAGCCTGCCATATACTATCTCTTCCAGAGATTTTATTACTGATATCACAGGGGCCATAGAACGTAAAAGTGTTAAATATTAATAAACACTGTTAATCCGCTGGTAAACTGATACAAAGTAACATTACAAAATTCACAGATTGATGTCATGAAATCCTATAGCTGTCACATTGATTTTAACATCTTTGAAACTAGATGCACTGTATTCATAATCAATTGATGATGTCATAAGTCCTTATATAAACCTATGCATGTGCATTTCTCATCCTTTTGGTGCATATCACAGGAGTGGATAGAGGTATAGAAACCCCCTAATCCAATATTTGTTTTACTGAGGTTTTTATTTGCATGCAGTTGATGTAAATTCCATTGCACAGTTTTAGGCAGAAATATGTCTTCACACATACCATATTTCTGTCCCGATTGCTTCGACGAAGATGACTGGTCGAACACAGATAATATGGGGAAAGGCATGCCAGGGAATTCTAATATGGAATTTGAAGTACACCCCAAATCTGGACGTTCACAAAAGCCCTATGATGAGGACAAGGAATTTACAAAGTAAATTAATCTTTTTATTTAATATGATATTATGTTGCATGTTAGGTAATATGTGCAAAAGCTGTTATTTGACTTAGTTTAAATCTGAAAATATTTACGAAAGTGATCCAACAGGTGTATTAATACTGTAGCAATTATGTCTAATCTTAATTTTCCCTGTTATTATTATTACTGTTGGTATCTAAATAGTACCAGCTTATTCCGCAGAACTTTTAAATATTATAAAGGCGGAGGAGACAATTACAAATTGTTACAGGAACAATAGGATGATGAGGACCCTGCTTACAATCATTCATTAAAGATAATCATTCCTCCTCTGCTTTCCTTTAAAATGGGAATGGTGTGTCAGCTTTATTGTTTTAGTTAATGAAAATCCACATGGCAAATTTAGGCTATAATAACTTATTTGAAATAGTGCTCTTGCCCCACTGTGTAATAAAACTTAACTTTTATTTCCCCTTAAAATATATTTGGAAAATAAATGAGAAAACACACACTCTCTCTAAAACTGATGAGTAGTAACACAAACTGAAACGTTGGTTTTATTTTTTCGAGCAATAAAAGCTAAGTTTTATATACAGTATACAAGTCCTGGGAATACTATCTTTATACTGGATGTTATATTTTTGCTGACAAGCACCGGGCAAGTAATTTTGGATGTTAGTTTATTCCCTCACATTAGAACCCCAGGAGAACTACTTATGATCAGTGTGTTTGCAAAACTTTCCCAACTCAGCTAAAGTCACTGCTTCGTTATTTTAGCCTAAAACGTGCCTTTGGTATTTCTGTTTACTGCAAATTGGACTTTAGCCAAACCATTCAAAAATACTTACTTAGAATGGGTACCACCAGGTTACTCAAGGCACCATAACCACTACAGCCGATTGTAATTTAATATTAAAGTTCTATTGTCATTAGTTTATTATATGATTCTATCAGACACTTCACCAAATCTGTGAATGCTGAAGAGCATACCTCAAAAACATAAATAAAAAAAATCCCTGCTGTACAAGAATCAATTTGTAGGTGGGTGTTTAGTTTCTGTTGCTATGGTGATTCACAGATGCTGTCAGATCCCACATTAACATGGTACAATGTAATAGAATATTTCCTAACAGCTATCACCGCAGGTTAACTTGCTTCTCCCCAATACATGAATCTATCTAATCTGGGGATTTTGTAATAATTTAAAGGACCACTATAGTGCCAGGAAAACAAACTTGTTTTCCTGGCACTATTTAGTCCTTAGGTTCCCCCCACCCTCAGGGCCCCCCTCATGCTGGGCTGAAGGGGTTAAAACCCCTTCAGCCACTTACCTTTATCCAGCGCCGGGCTCCCTCGGTGTTGGTGACCTCTCCTCCCTCTCCGATGTCATCTCCCGAGTAATGCTTTCCTATGGACGTTCTGCGTGCTCACTGCGATTTTCGCATTGAGCATCGCAGAAGCACCTCTAGCGGCTGTCAGGAAGACAGCCACTAGAGGCTGGTTTAACCCTGCAATGTAAACATAGCAGTTTCTCTGAAACTGCTATGTTTACAGCTGCAGGGTTAAAACCTAGGAGCCTGGCACTCAGACCACTTTATTGAGCTGAAGTGGTCTGGGTGACTATTGTGGTCCTTTAATGCGCATCCAGAGGTGGGAATGTGATTCCTGATGGCTGATCCTTCTGTGTTAAAAGAAATGTGTGTTAAAAGAAATACTTGTGTGGCACCTTTAAATCTAAGAACGTGGGATTTAGGTATGTCATTATACATTTGAATTTCAGTGCAGAGAAGCTGTGAAATTTTAAATTTATCCAAAACCTCCCCTAACATACAAACGGTAATTCACACCTTGCTATTAGGGTGAACCAAGGATCCAAAATATCTTCCTGAAGGATCCTGCATCCCTTCACTGCAGTACAGGAGTTGCACTTTAGGTTTTACTGATTCTAAATTATTCATTTCAAAATTGTCTTGCCCAGGGTTTCACAAATAGTAAGAAATGCCTGGTTTATGAATTAGTTTAATTTACTCTCAAAAGTGTGTGTGTGTGTGTGTGTTTGCAGGTGCAGGATTGTATATGTGGAGTGTCAGTGTATTTGTGTATGTGACATGCCCCATTTTGAATACCCTGGTTCGTCTACTTTTGAAATTGGTTTGCCATGATGGGGTTAAATATCATTCCTGGGCTGCCATATGGTCTCACAGGCTACATAACCAATCTAGCAAATTTCAATGTGTAAAAACAAAAAAAGGCTAAAGCCCTATATTTAACTCGGTAAGTTTCTAAAACCCCATAAAACCTGTACATGGGAAGTACTGCTGTACTCTTGAAACATCACTGAACACAAATATGTGTTTTTTATTTTATTTTATTGCAGTAAAAACTAACTGTATTATGACATTCACAATTAAAATGCCATTCAGAACTTAAAAAATAAGACTTTTTTTTAGGTTTTATTCATATTAAATTATGTTTCATATATAAATATTTGATGTGAAATGAAAGCCCTGTTTATCCTGAACAAAATGTTTGGGTGGGTGCACGTAATGTAAAATAGGCAAATTATGGTTGAACAGACATATAGTCAAATTCAAGGTTTTGTTTTAATCAGAGCTTGTACAGTTGCAGACATCCCAACATGCAAAAACTCATTTCAGGAAGGTGCTGCTCCCCATCCATATCTCCCCCCAATATTTCCCACCTATCTCCATCAGTTCCATCCATATTTACCCCAAATATCTCCCACCCCGCCATTGCATCCATATCTTCCCCCAGTATCTCCCCCCACTATCTCCTACCCTCATTCCATCCATATCTCCCACCTTTATCTCACACCTACCCATTCCATCCATATCTCCATAAAATATCTCATATCTCCATCAGTTATCTCCATTAGTTCCATCCATATCTCCCCCAAATATCTCCCACCCCACCATTCCATCCACGTCTTCCCCCAATATCTCCCCCCTCTCCATTCCACCCGTATCTCCCCCCATTATCTCCTACCCCCATTCCATCCATACCTCCCCCAGTATCTCCCACCTCCCATTCCACCCATATCTCCCCCCAATATCTCCCACCCACCCTTTCCATCCTCCTTCTTTCACAAGCAGCAGTAGCTGCCCACCTCACAGAGCCGATGCCCTAGGTGAAGGTTGCACAGACTATGCACACATACAGATGTGCCCACTCCCTACTGTTTTACCTGTAATGGCTGGGGAGGGCATCTCCTTGTAGTCCAGCAGTGTGCTGTTCAACTGGAAACTCCCGGAACGTCCAGAAGAGTTGGGATGTCTGCAATTGCCTCCGTCCTTAAGTGATTAATGGTTGCTTTTGTTATGATTCTTTGAATACAGTTTTTGGTATGTTTTAAACACAGAGATCTCTTTCCTTCGCAGATCTTCTTCCTGGTCATACAAGGACAGTAGACGTATGGGGAGAGAAATGATAAGGAGACAGAAACGTATGGACGATTTTAGTTCTTTTGGAGGTTTTTGCCCATGTCAGGACTTTGACACAGACGATGATTCGTAAGTCTTATAATACTTCCCGAGGTGCTATTGTGTGGAATTCTTTAGAAATTAAGAAGTAATTAATAAATAGTGTAATATAGCATAATTACCGGTTTATATTAGTTAGGCATCCCGACCCTGCACAACAGTCGGTAGATTAGATTGTATTGTTCTATAAACTAACTCGTAAATTGCATGTTTCATGTTACAATATGTTGACAAATTGCACGTCGATAACATTTCCTGCAGCATCCATCAGGGCTTTACATGAAAAACCTTTCTTGTTGCATAGAGCAGTAATATTAAGGAGAAATCTACTTTGGGTAGTACCAGGGGACATAGCCATCACACCTAAGACTGGTCCCCTTTATGGTTCTTAGGTGCGCAAGTTTTCCGGACGTATGGGACAAGCATTTCTCATATGTCCTTTCTTGCCACAGTATAAGCAAAGGCCCTCTTTTCTCCTAAACAGTTGTTCTGCCTCTGACAGTCTCATAACCCCTTACTGCATAGGTTCAGTTTCAGACTGCACAGGAGGGCCAGAAACAACAGGACTAGAGAAGAGAATCGCCAATGACATATTCATAAGTCTGGTTCTATTTCTAGTTATCTCCCTGTTCCTAAGTCGATTATGTATATGCATCACCTAAGTGATGTATTCATTTAATCTCCCTGTTAGTTCTTTGGCTGCGATCTCATCAAGGATAGCTTCGGATAATCCCTCTGAGAATGCGGTGATTAATCCGTTATTGGTCCAGTCTACCTCGGAAGCCAGGGTGCTGAATTCTATGGCATTCTCTGAGACAGACCGGTTCCCTTGCTTGATACGCATTAGGGCAGTGGAGGCATTGCTCTCCCTTCCCAATGGTTCAAACGTTAATTTGAATTCCGCAAGGAATTCCTGGTAATTATGGGCAACAGTCTTATTACTTTCCCATAAAGGATTGGCCCATGCTAAGGCTTTACCTTGTAGTTGGTTCATTAAGTACCCAATTTTAGCTCTATCTGTGGGGAAAGACCCAGGTGAGACTTCAAAATGGTACTCAATTTGATTAAGGAATCTCGACATTCATGAATATTACCTTCAAAAGGCGGGGGTGAAGATAGGGTGATAGTAGGTGCCCTATATACAGTAGGTGTAGGTACAGTAGGTGGCGGTGTACCTGCAAAGTGACCTTGGGCTGCAAATGAGCCTTACGTATTAGTAGCGTATTGAAAGCTTGGACAAATTGATCCATACAGTGATCATTCTCCTCTAGCTTTCTCTCACAAGCTACTATGTGCTGACACATATCTGCAGGATCTATGGTCTGCAGGATCTATGGCCATGTCTTAATGTCAGGATTATATTGATCCAACACGCAGAATAGTATCACACCCTAGAACTAAGGGTAACGTCTTACCGGGCCTTAGAATGGCCGGACTTAACGTACCCGAGAATAGTCTAGCCGAGGTCAGGGACACGGAACGAGACATAGTCATAAGGAAAAGCAAAAAGTCAAGGGTACCAGAAATCAGGGAAATCAAAACAAAGCTAAAGTTAAAAAAACAGAAAAACATGATCAGGAACACACTCTCGGATAACCATCTAAGACAAACCACGATAGGGCAATGAGCTAAGGAATAAGTGAGTTTAAATAACCCTCTTGCAGATCCGATCGGCTGTACCTAGCCCTTGACCCCAAAATGTGCGTGTGCGTCTTTTGCGTGACGTCACCCGCACGTCGACATCGTCTTTACCATGAACGGGCATGGGGCTATATAATTGCGTGCACCGACATGCCGCACAAGCCCGGCATCATGGCAGAAGATCGCCAAGCGGCCCCCCCCCTGATCTTCGGAAGGTAATTATCTCTGTTTTTGCCACATGGATACGAAGGATACGTGACACAGAGTTAGTGCTTAGTTGGGCTTCTTCACACATTGCCATAGCATTCTGAAATGCATTATATATTGCAGAATCCTGCAGTAACTGTATCTACTGCATATAGGCATTATGTTTACTTATATACATTATTTTTACATTCTTGTGGCATTTTAGGAAGCTGCATTCCCCAAAATAATATCAGGCTCCTACAAATACCCATATGTAGGGTATTAACCATTTTAATAATCATTTGCCGCAAGTATCTCTGACTCTTTCTCTCTCTCTCTCTCTGAAATAGTGCAATGTAAAGGATAGTGATTATTGTGAATGGTGAATAAATAAATGTAAAATTAACACTAAGCATTTACACAATTTTAGGTATTCCTGAACAACCGTCTATATTTTAAAATTTTCTGTTTTACCCTATTTTTAAGAATCTAGCATTGTGTTAAAGGGACATGCATCACTTACCATTATTTATTTAAACCAACAAAGACTTTAAAACCAAACCAAAATTAAACAAGAAAAACCTTTAAACGTATGTAGTGAACATTTATAAACTTACTGTAAACTTGATCAGATTGCATTGTTGGGCATGCCTCGCAGCTATGGGAGTTTCTTCAGCCTCTCTCTTCTTCCCCTGTCAGGATGTTGCAAGGTGAAGAGCTCTTCCAATTGCATATGTGTAAATCTGTCCGACATGCTCAATGGTTTTGTTAAGCATTCCTAGGGACAGGTAACTGATTGGTTAGACCAGTGCCCCCTGAAGTGTGTGTGTGTGTGTGTGAGAGTGAGAGAGAGAGTGTGTGTGTGTGAGAGTGAGAGAGAGAGAGAGAGAGAGAGAGTGTGTGTGTGTGTGTGTGTGTGTGTGTGTGTGTGTGTAAACCATAAGAAAGATGAAGCAAGAAAATATGAAAAAAAGAGAAAATCATATTTACCTGCTTTTTTCAGGCAACTGTGTCACTCAAAGCTAAAGCTAAAATTACTTTTTTTTTTTTTTTGTAGTGAAGGGTTTACTACATTTGTCAATGGAAAATGTTGATATATATTTCTACTGAACTTAAACTGAAATATTTTTATAATCATATTTCTCTTCCCTCCCCCTCCTCCCCCCAAGGTCATTGAGCAACCTGAAGATGGTCGTTGATACGTCCCAGTCTACAGATAAAATGTTTATTGCTTTGGTGAAGATGGTTGGTTTTAGTTCTAATGATGTCAAAGTAAAAGTGAAAAATTGTAATCTTATTGTTTCTGCGAACCATGAGGACAGTTTTGATGACAACGTAGGAAAGAAAGAATACAGGTACAAACACATATGCCACCAGTTCAATCTGCCTGCATCTGTCAAAGAAGAGGATGTGAAACATTCCCTTGAAAATGACAAAACTCTCAGAATTGAAGTTCATTTGCCTGAGTCCAAAGATAATAAACCCTTTGATAGAGACAACTACATCGGTAAGAACAAAAATGAAGAGAAATCCAAGAATAAAGAAACGTATTGGTGATGTGTCCTGAACTGTAGCTAACGTGATACAAGAAAAAGGGATTGTAGTTATTGTCGTTTGACCAACATCACAATAAAATAGATCTGGCAATTAAAAATCATTTCATGGATGTTTGTGTCCCATGTTACTGCAATATGTAGTCATTGAGCCAATGTTTTTAACTTCAGGATTTAATTAGAAGCTATTATGCAATGGTTTGAACACACATGTGATAATAGTTAGTCCAAGACAACTGGTCACAGTGATTGGGCTATGGTAGTGGCTCTCACTACACCATGTCATTGGAGGGTGTATAATTGATAGGTCACTATAAGCGCTGTCACAACTTGTGTGATTGCAAAGTTTATTGTGTATAGCGCATCTCAACCCACCGTAAGCTCTAAAAGTGGCTTAGAACTGCAGCAATTTGTAAAAAATCTCTGCAACCTTAATCCTACCGTCAGAGTCATGCATGCTGTCTTAATTTTTAACAAGTTGTGCGTATGGTGCACAAGGACTGAGCTCTCTCTCCTCCCAGGAAAGATAGCCAAGCAGTGGACCACGCATTGATGTACCAAGGCTCTTTAATCTTTGCACATAGCCTGACTCACTAAAAAGTGATCCAAGTTGTAGGTAAGCTGATAGCAGCAGTAGTATGGCTGTTATAAAATTTAGAGCAGTTTCACTCATTCTGTAACTACTCTTTGTTTAAGAACTACTTTTCCCATAAATGTCTGCTTGACAGGATTTTATGGAATGAGAACATACTTCTTAGACCAGAAATAAAGACTTTGGATTGGAACATCTCTGATTGGTTAGGAAGAGGTCTGTTTGAAATTGTCAATTCTGAATATGTCTGCCAAGAAGGCAGGGTAGAGGTGGAGCCAAACACCATCCTTGCCAGTCAGCCCCTACTCATAGAGATGCATTGAATCAATATATCTCTGTGGGGAAAGTTCAGCACACTGTGCAGCAATGGCCCAGGAGGCACCTATAGTGGTCGTCTGAGTGACTGACACTAGAGGTGTTCCTAGGCTGTAATGTAAATACTGCATTTTCTCTGAAAAGACAGTATTTACAGCAAAAGGCCTGCAGGGACTGACTATACTAATCAGAATAACTACATTGAGCTGTAGTTGTTCTGGTGATTATAGTGTCCCTTTAAAACTTATGAAGCAAATTAACATCTAATTGTAAATGAAACAATTTTTTTCATGCAGGTTGTGCCAGTCACACAGAGGTGTGGCTAGGGCTGCATGGACAGAAAAATAAGTGATTTAAGAATCGAGAAGTGAAGACTGCAAGAGCATGATTTATACTCCAAAACTGATTTATTAAGCTAAAGTTATTTTGATGCCTATTGTATCCCGTTAACAACTGAATTCCAACATAAAGATCAAATTTGTTTTATTTAATTTTTAAAATGTTGTCACTTTTAACCAATTCACAATTTTGTTAATGACCCTTTTATACTTTTACAATGTTTGAAATAAAAAAGAAATATCACCAATTAATGGCATATTTAATAATACAAAAATATCAAACGCAAGAGATTTGTTTTCAAGGGTAATCCTAGATAATTCTGTATTTAAACTGACAGGGATAACATGGTACTTCTGTAAATGATAAACATAGGTTCTTGGACAAGTGGCATATTATTTTACTAAATTAGATATGTTCTACATATTTAAAAATTAAGCAGAACTCCAAGGTTAGATTAATGTTTAGCCAATGCATACAGAAACAGCTGTTCTATAACATTGTCTTCAAGTACTTGAATGGCAAAGGGATGTATGTTGCCTTTCAGACTTGCACATAGATTCAGAATATCTGGCTGGAAGGAGAAATCAGACAAGCTAGGCAACTGCTTCTAATAATGATAAATAATTTGCCCAGTAATGACTAATGTTTCTGTGTTATCACATGTCCTCAGCATTGTTTAAAAAGTGTATTCCAACATGTGCCCTACAAGTGAATCATGAAACATCAATTCAATGTCCTCCAGTTTATGTCAAACCATTTTAGAAGTGTTTTTTACAAAAAAAATTAAAAAAATAGGATTTTCAAAACAACCTGGAAACCTCCTTTTACTTGGCAGCAGTCATGACAAAAGGACATGGTGCCCAGAGACATAAATGATATGCGCTGCGTTACGGTCTTCTCCTGCAGGCCATGCGCGTCAATCAGGTGGATATTGCACGTGGCATTCTTCCTGGCAGTGTAATGGACCCTGCTCACTCACGAAACACATCCATAAATAAATTCAAGACATAATTCCGGTCCACAATTGGCCACTTCACTCTGGCGACTTTGTTTCTGCACTTCGTGGGTTTGCAGGAGTGCTGTGGACAAATCAGTACTTACCTAATACTATTTAAATTAATTTGGCACCATTTACTTTGCTATGTTGTGGTTTCTGGTTTATTACTCAATTATTGTGTTCGTATTAGTTGTTTTATATTAGCTTGTTTTTTGGACTCTGTAATTCAGACATAACTAGTCTTTTCATATTTCTGTATTCCTGACCTGGTCATTTCGAGTGTCTGCTTATCTGTAACCTGTCTATTGATGACAATTCTCTCTTTTTATATGTTAAAAAAAAAGTCCTGTAATATTTTTTCTGGTTCTCTCTGTCGGCTAACTTAAGCTCTGCATATTACACATAAAAGAAAAGAAGGAAAATGGCATAAAAAGGCCACTTAGGAACAGAACACAAGATCTCCCGAAAAAAATATATGCAAAAACAACAAGAGAAGCAATATACATAAACAAACAGAATCAAAACACAGCCCGGGGCATGAGGATTTTTTTTTTTTTTTTTAAAGCACAAGGTCAGGTATACAGATATTTAAAGTAAAGCCTAAAAGGGCCCCAGAAACATGTTCACAATTGACACAAGGACAAAGTATGGATATAGGAGGGACCAAGAACAAACACAAAGGCTAAAAGTACTGTATAAGAAGTAAATAAGGAATGCTAAAAAGCTGATTGTCATGACTTAAGGGCAAAAATGGAAATTATACAATCCATTGCCTGGATACATGCCATAAATTCATATATAGAGTTCAAATTGGACACGTCACAGGGGCTATATGTCATGTGGAATACTACATGTTTAGAACAATGTACACTTACAAATAAACACAACTGGTGAAAAACAGGTTAAAACGGACCTGTAATTTTTTTTTTTCTTATGCCTCTTGTATCTTAATGACTACACTCCCTTCTTTGCCACTTGCCTTTATTTATATTTATTATCTTTTTCTTGCCTATGCTGGACCACACGAGCTTGGAGAAGCAATTTTGTTCTCCCCTGTCCATGATGTCTGCTGTTGTCCCATTGTCCTGTTTTGTTAACTTGACTGCTATACATAGTAGTCCCTATATTTCCTTATAACCTTTATAAAAACTAGAGCATGCATGAGAAAATTAAAAAGAACTCTGGTGCGAAACTGATCCATGGGCCTCCCTCCCTCTCCCCCCTGCCCCGACAGACACACATACAGAGACACATACATACATAGAGACACACACATAGACATATACAGACAGATATATACATATACATACACCCAAGACATACATACATACATACAGACCGACACACACACAAAACACATACATACAAAGACACAGACACATACATACAGACACACAGACACAGACAGACACACATACATACACATAAATATAGACACATACACAAGACACACAGAAACTGATCCATGGGCCTCCCTTCCTCTCCCCCCCGCCCCGACAGACACACACACAAGACACACATACATACAGACAGGCACACACAGACACACATACAGAACGACACACAGACAAAAACACACACACAAGACACATACATACAAAGACACATACATACAGACACACCCACATATAGACACACATACATACAGACAGACGCACACACACAAGACACACATACATACAAAGACACACACATACAAACAGGCAGACACACACACACACACACACACACAGACACACACAAGACACATACATATATACAAACAAACAAACAGGCATACATACAGACACACACATACATACACACACAGAAAGACACACATACATATACAGAATGTTTAAGTCACCCTCCTGTTTCCTACCTTTTAGGTGCAGGAGGGTGACTTTCCCTGGGGTCCAGTGGTGGCTCAGGTTGATGGGAGTCAGAGTTCCCACTCTGACTCCCTCCTCTGCTTCCTCCCACGCGGGCTCTGTGTGATGGCTGGATGGAGTGACTGAGGCAGTCAATTCCTCCCAACGTGTGATGTAATCACAGTGGGCCCGCTCATGCTGTTAAAGCGCCGCAGCGCTGACGGGCCCCCTGAAAATCTATACCCATTGGGTGACCCAGACAGCATGGGCCATCCGATGGATCCCTTGAATGGCGGCCCCGGTGGTTTGCCGCGCTGGCCGAGGCCATAAAACATAATGGCGGGCACCCGGTCGCATGGGTCCACAGGGAGGCAGCTGCGACCCCTATATGTACGCCACGGCACCTGGATATGCAGAAATGCCATACCCCCAGCCTTGCTGATGCCTTCATTAGCCCCCTAGCTACCTTGGGGCGCTTACCTGCCCATACAAATTTTATAAGGTCTTTGTTCACTGATTTTAAATACGTGAAGGGGAGTTGTAGGGGCAGTGTATAAATATTGGAGCCTGGGAAGTATGGTCATCTCGACCGTCACAATCTGACCAAGTTAGGAGCAGCGGTGCCCATTTTCTCAGTAGCGTGGAACATTCGTTCCATACCTTAATGTAGTTTGCAGCATAGAGTTCTGCTGGGTTTTTGGTAAAGGTCAAGCCCAGGTATGGATGCTGTCAGAGCGCCACTCAAAGTCATGTGTGTTTTGGAGATAGGCAAGAGTGGTCGTTGGTATACCAATGATTAAGGAAATTGTAAGATACCCTACCATAGTCCCGTATAAGGTCAAGAAGGGACAGCACGGTCTCCAACGGGTTGGTAATACATAGGAGAATATCATTGGCAAACACACCGATTT